ATCAATGGCCTATCGTGCACTTCCCCTATCCTCGACTACTATTGGGCGTTTTACAAGGTTTGGAAGTGGCGTGGGCCAGTCCATTAGCACCTCGTGCCCCGATTTCCGACGCGATCACGTTTCTCACTGCCCGGGACGGTCTGTATGCGCAAGGGGTTTTCCCGGTTGTCGGAGCCCTCGAATTGCGCACATTTTACGCGAGAAAAGTGAGTGTTATTTCGCGTTCGATTTATGTAGTGCCTAATTTTATAGAAAATTTTTTTCAACACATTTTTGTGTGAACAACAACAGACCGAGTGTAACGTCTGCCGCGAAAACCTGCTGTTCATTGATGAAAACAGATCACCAAAACCCCGGTTCTAAGGCCCCGTTAGGTTAGGCGTGGTATTGAACCGGACCATAGCGAAACTGTCTACCACTAAGTTGGACAAAACATTTTCAAAGAGCGATGTTGATTTTAGTTNGTTTTTTCTTTTTCTCCCCGAATGGAGTCAAACTGAAAAAGGAAGTGTGTATTCCGTCCACGAGTAGCAAATCATGGACTGTATTCTTGGTCATTGATACTAATGGATAATAATAATAATAATAATAATAATGAAACCGGAAAAAACAGTAGAAAAATTATTGCTTTCGTTCATCTTTGTTCCTCCGAGGACAACTCGGCTGTGGAACACGCTGTTGCTATTTACATGGCTCCACACTCACTTTCTTCATATTTTCCCAACTGAAGCTTTTGTAGGTACAACACGTTTGCCTCGACACTTAGATAGCATTGATGTGTTTCCAACTGTTCTTCCCGGTTTCTTTCACTTTTCTATACCCAAAACACTGCATTTCATTTTCCCAATCAAGCTTGCAGTGGACTATTGTCAACGTCGAGTCGACTATCAGACCGATCTATTTCGATTCACTCGTCACCTGTTGATGGCTCTATTCGTGATTTGTCACAAACAGGACTGTGCGACTGTAGCCGCAGAACAGCACCGTTCCACAGACACGGAATCAGCGTATTCTGTCAAGTATCCGCCACATTTGCCACTAGATCGGTTATTGTACTGCCTGAATCCGCGAGAGATGAGCATCCTGCTGTCCGACGTGCGACGTAATTTACGTCTGCGCCTGGCTTTTGATTGGCTACGACACAATCAGAAATGGGAAACTTGTCGTCCTCGTCACGATCGCCCCAGTACCACGCACCCATTCTCCGTAATTATTTCCCGCACTTTGGACGCACTCGGTGGTGGCCCGATTCCACCGGCCCCGGCGTTTATCACACCCGGCCTGCTCTTGGCTTTGCTACAGTCTCATCTAGCCGAACCCGGTGTTGCCCGGCTGGTTGGACCACTTTTGTCTGCAGCACGGCTTCTCCAACCGCCTGCGGATCCCGGGCCGATTGCCTCGGAAACCGGGAACGCGGATTCGGATGTGGAAGAGATTGATGTGAACGGGGAACTGGTGGTGGTGTTGAACGAATGATTCAACTGTATCAAATCCTAAATCAGATCTATTCTCCATTCACCACTCGTGTATATTTGTGCATTATTTTCTCCATTTCTGGCTATCCTCCTCTTTGGATGAAGAATGTTTCATGCATTGTGTTGATGGTGATAAATAACACGTGCTGTGCACTGATGCTACTCTTTCTCAATTGTGTTGCGGATAATTTGCCTGGAATGGGATGAAGGACGTCAGTCTTGTTAGGTGATGTGAGTATTCAAGCTTGCGTCAATCGAAGTCCTACATAAGTGTTGAACTAAACCAGATCAAACCACACCAGATTCCCCTAGTTGACAGAACGTTTTTCTCACGGTGATCTATCTCATCGCGCTGGTGATATTCACACATATTATGTGTGCATCATCAGCGTCCGCTCGTCAACACCCCACGAATGTTTCTCCGCAAGCCTTACGTTGTCAGGCGGCACAACGGTGTATCAACAC